AAAGGAAGAGTCGAGAAAAACGGACCGTACCTACGATACCTTTGGCATCCTCCGCTGCCCCCGGAGCCGCGCTGGCGCCCAGCAACCGCCGTAGACCGCGCGCCGCTCTGCGGTAAAAGCTGCCAGGAAGCGACCTCCGCGAGAGCCTGGTGGGGCGCAGGTGCGGGCTCTGCGGGAGGCGGTGGGGACGGGCGATGCGTGGCCTGGGCGTGGCCTGGGCGTGGCTAGTGGCGGTTTGAGCGGCGTCGTGGCCGCAGCCAACTGCGGACGCGAGGTTTCTGGGGTTCCCCTGGACCGCCTGGTGTGTTTCGGGTCTATTTAACCCTATTCAACGTCTCTATTGAATATTAACCTATTGAGTTGTAAAAGTCAGGCATAGAATTGACATCACAGGACCCTAGGAAAAAAGCAGCGCCAGGGGCTGCACGTGCCAGAAATAACTGGTCAAAAGTCAGATCATGTTTCTCCTAAGTCAGCTTAAATATAGTGTAATCACAAAAAAGCATAGTCTCTGGAGTCAAGGCTGTCTGGGCTTAAAGTTCAGCACTGCCACTTTATAGCTATAGCACCGCAGGCAAATATATAATCTGGAGTTTTGGTTTTCTCATCTGTAAAGGATGTGGTAGTGTGAGAATAAATGAAATAATACATTGCAGGTGTCTGAAACAGGGCTTGGTATTAAGTAAACACTCAATATCCTGTTATCAATATAAACCTTTTGGTTATTTTTCCCATGAAATCTTATGTGGAAACTTTCATATGAAACAAATAAAGAAGTAGCTTCTCTGCTTGAAGGAGGGCCCTTCAAGCTTTGGTTTCTCAGTCCCAAAGGTGGTCTAAAAGGTTCCACTAATGGAATCCCCAAGCTTCCTAAAATAAAGATGAAAACAACTTATTGTAGAAAAATCCACACTTCTTAGAAAGACAAACTGCCCTTTTCTATTTTTTTCTCCTAATACTCTAAACAACTTTTACTCCAGCGCACACGATATTCCTTTTTGCCTCCGTGTCCGCCTCCCTCCCCCACTAAAGTTATTCTATCCGAAGTATCTCTCTCCTTTTCCTAATTATCATTTAGGATCTGATTCAAATTACAATTCTTTCTTGGGTGACCAAATAAGAAATTGTCTTTTTATTGTAATCCCTTCCCGTCTTCAGCATGGTGCAGACATCTCAACAAAGACTGAAAGTTATTTTCTCCTGTCTTAGGAGTAGACAAGGTTATTGTGTGATTATAGGGTCAAGGAAATGCTTTGTTCTGATGGCAGGGAAGGGAAAAATAGGTAGATCCCCAAGGATGCTACTAGGAGGGACAAATGGTAGAGCTGGGAAGGAGGACCTCGGAGAGGGCTCTGATGGCTGCCAGGGCACTGCTCTGCGCCCCAGATGCAATGAACTGAAGGAAGCTAAGGGCTTTAGGGTCAATCTAAGAAAGATGGAGGGCACATCAACAAATGGAGTTTGGGAATTTTCACCAGGTCAGTGGAATCAGGCCAGATTTAATTTGAGTTCCTCAACTAAAGCATATGATATTACTTGTTTCCCAAATGGCATACGCAATTTCCACCTGTTACAGAGAACTACATAATTATTCATGCAGAAATGTAATGTTCTGAAACATTTCATTTATTTAAAGACAATATGATGAAAATTTAATAATGGCTTAAAAAATATCTAAAGAAACATCATATGCCTTTTCCTGTAAAAATAGTAACTTAACATGATTATATTGGTTATATTTGTAACAATGCATTGAAAAGCAAAAACTTGTGAGAAATAAGAACTTTATTTATGACAGCATTTTCCACTAAATTTGATATGAGGAAAATAGTTTTTAAAATGTCTTCTATATAAATAGTTCTGTACTTCTGAAATCACTCCAATAAAAAGAGAAATTTAACCAATGATCTAGTTGGTATAATTTAAGTGCCAATTTTCTCTTTCAGCCTTACTTCTCACTAATTCACTTTATCAGCCTTAAGTGCCAATCATTTACTATACTTCAGGCTTTACTGTTTTCAAACTTTGCTAATATGCCAGCCCTCCACCTAGTCATTTCCTTTACCTTACTAATATTAAACCATCAATCTAAATCACATTCACTCTTGAAGGTCCGATTCAAGTATAGCCTCTTAAAGTTCTGAGAACACTTTTGAATCATTCAATTGGATTACAGCTATTTATATATATATATATTACTTTCTTGAAAGGTTCTTGAAGGCAACTATCATGTCTCTTTACATTTATATTCTCAAGTGTCAATCATGCATCGGAATTCAACTTCCATTGAAAACGGAGCCCTTAAACATCTTGTTCATCACTGTATTATTCTGCAGTAGCTAGCATAACGCATGGCACATAGTAGACATAAGTGTATTTTGAATGAATGGATGGATTTTAAAACTTAAGTTCCATGAAGGCAATAATTTTTCTGTTTTATTCATTACAAAATGAATAGTTGAATATTGTCTGGTGAATAAATAATTTTTGGAAGGCTTAGCATTTATAATATGCAACAGAAATTCATCAGTCTCTATATCACAGAATTCAAATGTATTTATTTTACCTTTCACCCAACTAATTCAGTGGATGATATATCTTTCTGAAAATAAGACATCCCTCAGAACTGCAAGAGTAAAATTTTAAAGAACCAAAATAAAATGGGTGGTGGTTACATTAAGAGTATTTTTGGTTTTCTTCCTTATACTTTTCTGTGTTCTAAATTTTCTACAATTAAAATATATTCTTTTGCAATCAGAAAAAAATCATCAATACTATTTTTAAAGAATGTAATGAGTCTACGGCCATACCTCCCTGAACGCACCCAATCTCATCTGATCTCAGAAACTAAGCAGGGTTGGGCCTGGTTAGTACTTGGATGGGAGACTACCTAGGAATACCAGGTGCAGTAGATGATTAAAAAAATGAAAGAATGTAATGAATGAGAACACTTGCAAATGTATGGCTCAGGAAATATCGAGGATACCTAAGTCCAATTAAGATTATTTGGCGTTAATACCAAAGAGGAAAACACTGGAATGTGAAAATAACTTAAAAAGTTGAAACCTAATCAGCCTATCAAAAAAACAAAAAAAACAAAAAAAAAACTTCTTGGGGGGAGATTAATGGCACCGACTCCAGAAATAAAAGGGCACTGTGGAACAAGAATTTACAATGTTTGTTTAGCACCATCCTTGGAAGTATGACCTCTGCTCTGAACTGAACTGTGTCCCATCTTTGGCCCCCCAGCTTCTACCCCACCAATTCATATGTGAAGTCCTAACTCCAATGTGATGGTATGTAGAAATGGGGCCTTTGGGAGATACTTAGGTTTAGATGAGTTCATAAGAGTAGAGCCATCATGATGGAATTAGTACCCTTATAAGAAGAGATACACTTTCCCTCATCCCCACCTCTTTCTCCACCAGGTGAGGATTCAGTGGGAAGGAGGCCATCAGAAAGCCAGGAAGAGAGTCCTTATCAGAACCCAATCATGCTGGCACCCTCGTGTTGAACTTTCAGCCTTTGGAACTGTGAGAAAATACTTGTCTGTTGTTTAAGCCACTCAGTCTATATATTTTTATTTTATTTTATTTTTTTACAGCAGCCTAAACTGACTAAGTCAGACTAAGCAGACCAAGGTCTGAACTGTTATGGGGCAGGGATTTTTCTACTCTGGAAGAGGATCCCCTCATTGATTCAGTTGACAAACATTTACTAAATGCTTACTGTGTTCCATGCCCTGTACAAGGTGCTGAGGATTCAAAGATGACCAAGACAAGGCTCCCACTCCCAATTAGCTGATCTAATAGAAGATAAACATGTAAACAAACTGAAAAAAAAAAAGGATTATGACTAAAGACATATGTATATGGTGTATACACTCTTCTTTCAGGGACTCAAATGTAAAATAATTGTTTCTGTGGTTGGGATGGGGTAAGTTTGGTTGGTCTGAGTCAATACTCCATATCAAATTAACTTGCAGATCACCAACCAAGTCAAGAGCTCTGACTTACAGGGTGGTGACAAACCTGAGACTTCACATGGTGAGCCCTGGAGAGGCTAATTCTGCACAGAGTCTTAGAGATTTAGATGGTGGCTGTCCACTGAGGAGAGGTAGGAAAGAACTTGTGTGCTCTGCAAGATGGAACAGGCTATTGGCAGTGGCTTAATGGGCTCTTCAATTATTTCTGCACTTTGTGAATTTCTAATTCTTTGGGGCCTTGAATATGTATAACAACATTCTCATTTATTTATACTAACTGTATTTTTGTATAAGTTTTCAAAGTCTGTAACTTGGAGAAAAACTACTGGTGAACGTGGGAACCAGTACTAATTGCAACACCCTTCCATGTCACATGCCTTTTGCTGATTAAGTCCTAATTTCCACCCACGTCCAAGCTAAGGCTCTTCTTTCTCTGAAGCTGTGTCTAAACTGTGTCACCCTCTGGATTGGTTGGGCGCTCCTACCATGACCTCCCTAGCACCCCTGTATCTCCCGTTTAATAGCACTGTACTATTTTGCAGTCTATTGTTTAATTGTCTATATCCCCTATCAGACTGTCAGATCCGTAAGGACAAAAACATTAGTCTTAATGATATGTCTGGATCATCAAAGGCTTTCAGTGAATATTTGTTGAATGACTCTAGTTTCAGAGCCTGTGAGAGTAGAGAATCAGATGAGCATTAAGTTTATGGTGCGACCACCCAGGTGCACCTAACTAATGAAGTTCAGTTTGGAACATCCATCTGAACTTTGGTATAAATTATCCAGTCCAAATTGAGAACATACACACTAAGGGAACACAGTATCACAGTAACCAGAGTCAGGCTGACATGAAAATGAAGCCTGTTATGGCTTCATATTATGTTAGCTCAATAAAAATTAAGCTAGTTTTGAATAGAGGTAAAAGTCATGGTAGGAGGGGCAGGAATGACAAGAGAGGAAGGGACAGGTTTTATGCAGATTAGTTTGGTGGGATGAAAATATTCAGAATCCATTCATTTGATACATATTTAATATCTACTTCAAGATCAGATAGAATTTTGAATCCTAAGTAAAGAGTTTAGATGGGCTACAACAATTAAGTAATAAATGATTCAGGTATACAAAAGACATGATGAAAACTGTAAGTTATATTTGAACATGATTATTCCAGCAACCAGGCAGTAGTTGGCCTAGCGTAAAGGAAAAGTTACGGGTGATGCACAAAAGCAGAGATGGTCTGTTGAGTGAGAAAAAGTGTGACCTATGCAGATAAGTCTTTCTTCTAGTATCATCTCTGCTGGCACATCACAATGTCTGAAATTCCTGCCACAGAAGTCATTCTTTTGGTTAAAGGTACTATCTTTAGGAAGCTCTTGTTAAAATGCAAGAATATGCTACTAAGTGATGGTATTCCCAACACGATGGTACCTCTGGCTCCCAAATCTGATCTTTCCTTCCTCCTAGGGATGTGACTGTTTCTCAGTCTTTTCACAGCTGATATGGTCATCACCAGTAGAACCGCTTCCACATCATGTCCTTTGAAAATAAATTGCTTGTCTTGTAATTTCTTTTTTCCTTCTTCCTGAGTGCTAGAAACAAGACATGGGAGAGATCCATCTTCAACCTGTGTCCTAAGCTAGGGAATGGCAAAACCTCCAGACAAAAGGATGTGGGTCTCTGAGTTACCTCATGAGTAGAGTAACTCTGTCAGCATCAACTGGTCAGCCAGTTTCATGAAAAACACATTTCTATTTTCTTTTAAGTATTGTATTTTGTTTCTTCATTATAGCAGCTAACCTTACCCTGATGAATATGATATTCATAAGTTGACATAGATTTGAAATTTAGTTATCTCTCACCTCAAGAACAGGAAGAGCATGAAGCTGTGGGTCACAAGAAACAAATAAGAAAGGGCTGGACAGAGCGCTCCTCAGGAGGAGGCAAACTCAGACGGGCTACTTAAATGAGAGACTCTGTGTAATCAGCTAGGAGATAGGATAAGGTCTTTTGTCATCTGGAGAGGTGCAAGAGGAAGAACCAATGAAGATATTTTGTATACTTTAAAATTTTGGTGGGATCAATCAGTTACAATGAGAGGAGTAGAAATGGAGAAGAGGTAAATTAGCAGGGAAAGTGAGGGTAGAAATTGGTGAGGGATTGCATTACGGTATTTAAAAACAAAATAAAGAAACGAGGAGCCAAAACCAACTCATGGCATGGGAGGCTAGGTGACCAATAATCACGAAGCTGTGACAATAAGTCAGAGCAAGCTGAACAGGATTATTGGTCTTTACCATGTTAATTTTTAAATTGTGGTAATACATTGAAGTGTATGTGTCCCTATAAAATTAAGATATATGGTAAAGAGGTGTTTGGAAAAAAAAAAAACCAACAGAGATATCAGGTTGGAGATGTAGAATATTATCATCCACATGGAAAGGGCAATGGATAAAAATGCTGTTTGAAGAAACAGCCACACTTTTGGTTCTATTACATTTTTAGCTTAAACATTACATATCTCAATATCCATCTTGATAAAAATAGCCTCTGTTAACAGCTTTCTAATCATAATTTGCATTCTCTCTTTTCACCTCTAAACTTGTATAGAAGTCTCTCCTTGAACTTCTTCATCTTCATTTTGATGTTCAGCTTTCTGGAGAAGCTTGGGGCCCAGCAAACCAATCAGTAGACTTCCAATTGGGGCTGTTATGAGGATGGCCAAAAATGCTACTGTCAACACATCCATTCCATATTCTTCTAACTGTTTCTCTCCATGTGATCTTGCTGTATCCAAAGCCACAGATCCTATTGCAGCCTATAAAAGTTTAAGGGTAAAGTTGGAAACAAGACAAGCACATAGAAAAAAGGTGAATTATTTTATCATTTGCAAAAATGCATTACTTGTTCTTCTGTTCAACTAAGAAAGTTCTATTAGTCTTCTTTTAAAGTATACTGAACTTGGTTTTTATTGTTTGAAAACTCTTCCTGCCCTCGCATGGGAAAAGAATGATGATTCATATGTACTTATTTGCATAAGATGAGTTTACAACAATATCAGGCAAATATATTTCAAAATATAAGGCAAACACAGGCTCATTATATTAACTATAACATGATTCTATATACTAAATTTCTCCTGAGTAAAGATGAGAGTTGTTGGTCATCTCATTCATTTATCTTTAGGAATTTGGAATTAAGAAAGAACAAGATAAAAAATAAAGTGATACTTACTGAAAAAAATGTACTGATATTTACTGTGAAGTTTTTTTTTAAAAAAAAAACAACTTAAGAATATGTACTGCTTCAAAGTCTAAACCAATTGTTAAACATCATGAAACTTGAAAAGTGGCATATGATTAACTTCATAACTTGAAGTTAATCATATTAGATATTTGGTTAACTCTTTGCCTCAGGAGTTGGTGAAATGTTTCATTTAAAGTTTATCCACTAGAAAGTCTTACAAAAAGTCTCATTTTCCTTTAGAGGCAAAAGGCAATATTAGTACACATGGGAAAATAACATATGAATCAATCCCCTTGTTCCACAGAACACGACAATGTTATCTTCTAGGACAGTGAAACAGAAGAGAAAATATCAGTGTGCACGAGACACAATGGCAGAGACTACTAATTGTCCACAAATATCTGAATATCCTTTTTCCTTTCTATAATAGAACTCCTGAGTTTAAGCTGATCACATATTTGTACAGACAGAGACTTTTTTTTTCTCAGTCTTCTTTGCAACAAGAAGCTGTGTATCTAAGTTCTGGCCGCTGAGAGGTCAGTGGAAGTATCATGTGCTACTTGTAAGTTGTTCCCTGAAAAGAAATGGATACTTGTACCTTATTCTTTCCCCTCTTCCCACTAGATGAGAAATAATGAGAATTGGACTCATGGATGAAAGGTACATGCTGAGGATAGTGGTCACCCTGCTAGCTCTGGAATTCCCATGCTGGACTGCTGGTGAGAAATAAAACAATCTATCTAATTTGGTCCCCGTATTAAGGGTTCTTTGTTATTGCAGGTTATCTAGTACCATTGCTAATTCAACATTTCATGAATTCTTGGCAAGAACTGCACATATTATGATGTACAGCTGACCCTTGAACAACATGGGTTTGAACTGCATGGGTCCACTTATAAATGCATTTTTTTTTCAGTAAATATACAGTGGCCCTTCATATCTCCAGGTTTCGCATCTGTAGATTCAACCAACTATGGATCAAAAACAGTATTTTCCAGTTGAGAATCTGTGGATGCAGAGGGCTGTATGCACCGTTCCTCGGATTTTGGTACCCAGCGGGTCACAGAACCAATGCCCTTTGATACTGAGGGATGACTGCGTTTTGGGGGAATCAAAAGTTATATGTGGATTTTCGACTGGATAGAGGTCAGTGCCTCTAACCCTTGTGTTGTTGAAGTGTCGACTGTATAATTTCTCTTTCAATTTCTGTCGTGTGTGTATGTGTACGTGTGTGTATGTTTGGGGGTTTGTATGTATGCTGAGTTGTGATTTAAAATATATTTCTTCAATAATTTTTAATAAAAAAGGAAAATTAAGTAAATTAGACTATAAATGTGAGAAAACACCCAGAGAGAGATGCTCAGTATTAATTTTACTTACTTATATTATGTACTAATACTAACAAGTTGGATAAAAGGAAACATTCACCTTTTAGTGATGAAGTTCAAAAAGATTGAGTAATTGTTTTAGAGTCATACAGATAATAAGAATCAAGTTGAGGTCTGAAACTTGGCCTTCCTGATCCTAAAGCCAAAGTTTTTAACTGGTGTAATATATTTCTTTATCTTAAATAATTACTAGCTGCGAAGAAGAATGAACAGAAGAAAAATTGCATTGCTCAAAAAGTAATTGGAAACTATTGATTCAGTCATTTACTTTTATCTAAATGTGTGTTATGGAAAGAATAGAAAAGATAGAACCACAAAGCATATAAGAGTCATGTAGTAATTTTAGTAATTGTGGGTAACAGCATTCACTTCATTATATAAGAATTAACAAATATTTATATATTGCTTAATTAATAACAAGATGGTATGTATATAAAGTTTAAAAACAAGCAACTTTGTTGACGTGGGTAGAAGTCAAGAAAATGGTTCCTTTTATGTTATTGACTGGGAGAGGGCATTAGTGCAGCAATTCGGATGCAGGAGAATCTATTTCTTGTCCTGGTTTCCTTTATGACTCATCGAGCAGTGTAGTCATGACTTGTGTTTTCTTCTAAGTGTTTGTTACACCTCAATTAAAATTTACTTGAAAAAAATATTTCTTATAATATTGCCTGAACAAAAAAAGTTTTAAAAACAACTAATATAGAAAAAAACACATAGGAAGTCTTGTTTCTTGTAGTGACAAAAGGTGAAAAAAGAAAATTTTATACAAGACTTGCTCCATAGAACATATATTATTCAACATTTCCTAGATAATTTCTCCTTATTTTAAAATTTGCTTTAACAGCAGGAAAGTTTAGAAACAAATCTTTCATATCAAAGCTACTAGAGTGATTATTTTTATATTTTACTTACTAAAGTTACTAAAAGTAATGTGAAGGCTAAAGATACTATGAGGGAGAAACTATTCCACTTATGGGACTATGTTAATCTCACAGTATTTTTAGCTATTATGTCTCAGACATTTTCAAAAGTCTAATGGAAAAAAAAAAAAACTTCTCTGGAATAATGCCCAAGCCCACAGCCACGCAAAATTTGGCATGTAGTTACAGAGCATATACATCCCAAAGCTTCCTAAATTGAGAACATTTGATTTTCATTTCATGAAATAGAAATTTGCCTACTTAAATAATTGCAAAATAATCAGGGATGGAACAGTTAAATCTCATTTGCTATAATTTGTCTGGAATATATTACATTTGCAACAAATCATAATGTAACAGTTCTAATTTAATTAGCAATTATAGGCAGTCTACCAAGTTTGTGGTCAATTATTTCAAGCACCAATCTGTTAGTGCCTTGTTCATTAGCGTGCACAAATTTTGGGTCATGTGATTGAGACATTTGACAGGAGGTTCAGCTAGTTTGAAAATTTTAATATCAACTAATAATTTAGGAAATCAGTAAAGCATTTTCTGAGTTGCTTGTCATCAAATCTTTCTACTTTCTATATAAAGACTATGGTCCAGCATAACTGGTCATCAATCATATTGACCCTGAAGTATCTCCAAATACCAAGATGGGCCATGCTATTTCTCTTTCACTCTCTTCTTGGAATATAGTGAAATGAAAAGAATTAACAAATACCTCTCTGGGGGGATTCAGAATGCTCTTACTGATAAAAATTCAAACTCTTTCCTTCTGCTACTATTGTTTTCTAGTAGTGTAGGAATTTATTGGAATTTTTGTTGTGATCTAAACAAATTTAAATGCCCTTTCATATTTAAAGAATCACTTTACCAAAATAAAACTTTTAAAGTGTAGATTAGCATAAATGCATTTCCATAAATCAAATTTCAATGACTTATTTTCACCAAATTTGAATAAACCCTCTTATGTAAAATTTCAAGGTATCATACAGAAGTCAGAGTTAAAATGATAAACCACCCTACCCATCATAAAATGCTATCCATCATTACCTGGACTGTGGCCTTCGGAAGCCATGCAAAAGAAATAAATATCTTTTCCTTTATGTTAAAACCAGCAAAACACACCATCAGAAATGTAGTCAAAATTCGTATCAATACTGCAATGCTCAGGGTGGCAACGCAAAGGCCTGTAAAAAATATTTAATTTTTAGACATAATGAAATAGTGGGAGGAGGGGAGGAATTGAATCTCATGGTTATTAGTTCAAAATACTATCAACAGAATAATCTAAATCTATTAAATAGTTTAAAAGACAACAATGGTTAGGCATAATTTATCAAAACATCAATATTAAAGCTCAATCAAACCATTTGTTTAAAAGTGAATGTTGTTATCCACAATTACTAGATTAAAATGAGAAATTAACTAAATATATTGGAATTTCTACAACGGAGAATTGAGTGTTACTTCTCTTATGCTTTATAGCAAAAACTACACTTCCATGTGTTTACTCAACAAGAATTTATTAAATGATAACTACGCATGACAGGATTTGGACTAGATTCTGGGTACATAAAAAATATAATGTACAGATTTTGCCTCTATGAATTTCAAAGTCAGAAGACAGAAACACAAACAACAAATTAATATACTATAAGGTAAGTGTAGTATAAACATACTGGTAAGAGAGTAAGAAGAAGAAAAAAATAGTATTTTCATCAAAATGGTTGAGAATTCTTTACAGAGTATAAGACTAAAGGTGATATTTAAAGTATTTAGTGTATGGCCATGCCACAGGGTGCTGAATAGGGTGCTAAACAGGGTCGGGCCTGGTTATTACTTGGATCGGAGACCACCTAGGAAGACTAGGTGCTGTTGGCATAAAAAATAAAAAATAAGGGATTGTAAGATAACAAGGTCCTTACAATTTGTGAAGTCAACCAAGGGTTGCCTCACCTAAAAAAATTAAAAAAAAAAAAAAAATTAACAGGCAGTATGAAGACAATCGGCCAATCAGAATAGAGCTGGTTGGGCACTGATCAATCAAAATAGACACTGATAGTATACATCTGTTTCACCATATTGGGTATATACACTCACTGCCCATTACTCTGGTTCACATGTACAGCACTTCATTCGGTCCTTTAAAATCCTTTACTGATAGATATAAGTTCATCCTGATTAGCAAAATAAAGGATTGTGACAAGGGCCACTGCAGGCTACTGAATCTGAGAAAGGCTAAGCTAAGGTGACTGCTAAATAATAGGTGATTTTTTAAAAAGTAATAGTTGTTAAGTGTTTACTCTGTAACATGTTCTACATTAAGCCTTAAGTGCATTGCTTTACTTAATCTTTATAACCTGTGGAGTAATTTTTCTCATTTCACAGTTGAAAAAAATGAAATTCAGAAAGGATAAATAACTTTCTCAAGTTCAAAAGGTTGTAAAACACCAGATAGACACAGTTGGAGGATCTATTGTGAATCTGCAACATGGTTTCTTTATAGAAAAGCTCTGTGGCTCTTTGTTGACAGGTATTTCTCCCAGGTTGATAGATTTTCTTGTATCTTGTTGCCTGAAGTACAAGATACAAGAGATGATACCATTCCTAGGAGGGAACATCGAAAGTTTGGGGAGAGGATGATGAGGAAGCTTTCGATACACTAAGTCTGAAGTTTTGTGGGACTTATAAGTGGTGATGTTCAATTAGCAACTGGATATATTGATTTAGAGATAAAGATTTTAGAAGTATGTAGTTTATAATTAAAGCCACTGAGTATAGATGAACTCAGAGATATGATGTAGAGTTAGTAGTATATAGGCTTTGGAAGAAAGTTAGATAAAGAGCAGCATTTAAGCCACATATAGTGGAAAGAAGGAATTGAAAGGCACTAGAAAATATGAATTTTCAGAATTCAATGTAAAAAGTGTTTTAAAGAGGTCAATAGCATCAAGTGTTGCTGAGAGATCAAATAAAATATAGATAGAGAGCTGTTCAGTGGATTTAGCATATAACCTTGGTCAGAGCGGGGCTGGTGGTGTGATGGGGCAGAAGCTGGACTGAAATGTATTAAACAAAAGAATGAGAGTTGAAATGGAAAAGAGAGATCTGGTTACTCTTTGGACAAGTTTGGAAAGAGGAATGGAGGGGTAGAGTGGTAGGTGAAGGGGGAAGTAAAATGGAAAGGATAATTTTTAATTGTAGTTAAATATACATAATAAAATTTACCATCTTAACCATTTTTTAGTGTACAGTTCAGTAGCATTGAGTTAAACATTCATAATTTTGTGCAACTGATCTTCAGAACTATTTCATCTTGCAAAAACTGAAACTGTTTTAATTAAACAACAACTCCCCATTTCCCCCTTCGCACAAACCCTGGCAACCACCATTCTACTCTTTCTCTCTATTAATTTGAATATTTGGGATAACTCATAAAAATGAAATCATACAGTAATAGTCTTTCTGTGACTGGCTTATTTCATTTTGTATAGTGTCCCCAAGGTTCATCCATGTTGTAGCGTGTATTAGAATGGAAGGATATTATTTTAAGATAGGAGAGATTAGAGTCTGTTTAAATTCTGAAGAGGAGACAACTGAAAAGTATATTTGAAGATGTGTGAGAAAAGGGGAAGAATCTGTGTGTGAGATTCAGAAGGAGATGGCAGGGGATAGGATCCCTAGGATGGATGGAGAATACCGTGATGCGAGAAAAGGAGGAAATATTGAGTATATATGTGAGAATTAACTTTAAGTACAGTGCTGTGAATCAAGAGAGTTTTAAAATGACGGCTTTTGAATGCATAAATGGATAAAAGAATGAATGAATAAACAGATATTTCTATTCCATGGGTACATATTATAGAACTCACTCGTTACCTTTAAAATTCTGGCTCTTGATCAGAACAAGGCTAGATGAATACTCTTACTCTTGGAAAAAAATTTTAAGGCCTGCAGTTTTTGATAGTACTAAGCAGTGTTACTTTTTTTTACAAGGAACAATATTAAAGATATAAAATTTTCTGTCTTAGACTGACGAATATTATTTTCTAACCAACTACTCTAAAAGATTTAAATCATTATTAAACTTTTATATAATGTGGCAATGAGAAACACTGAACTATACCTACTAAAGATATTTCAGCTGTATATAAAAAAGAGTTGATTTTAGCAAAAGTACTACTTCGATATTCTTACCTACAGTTTCTGGTCTAAGAGATGCAACAGATACCTCTGCTCCAATTAGTCCAAAAAGAAGGGGCTGAAAGATGTCCCAGGCAACTGCAATAATTCTTTCAACCTCCGCCTAAAAGAAACACACATGTGTGTGCACACACACATATTTTTATTATGTAAAGTTACAAGTTCTAAGAATTTTGCTAATTTGAAATTTGAGTCAATTTGACTCAAGGTGGGCTTAATTTGTATGACATTTATAAATAAGAAGTTAGTTAGAATGGAGCAAAATGTTGCATAAAGATATTTCTAACACAGTTAAAAATATTATATGAGTACTTTAGTGTTGGTTTGCAAATGGATGTTAATTATAAACAATCCTATAAAGTAATTGTAGGAGAACTTCTACTTCTGAATATGTGGTGTGTACATTTTGTAATACTTAGCTTTATTTCATAGTTAAAAATTTTGTTATTTTTCATTCAATAGTGTGACTTAGAGATCTTCTATTAGTACATATATCTAGATATGTACTTTAGTATTGCTGCATAGAAATCTATAGTATAGAAATACCATAGTTTATTTAAGCATTTCTTTACTGATGGAACTTTAAGTTGTTGCCAATTTCATCTTTATAAAAAATACTGTTTAAAGTTATTTCAAATTATACACAAAAATAAAATACAGGTATAGTAAAGTGCTATGCCAGCTATTGATTTATTGCCCCATTGGTTTTTTTCATTGTTGCTTTGCAGAAAATAGAGCTGGACCCTTTAAACATTTCTCCTTTATTAGCTGGCATCATATCATATTTTATCAACAGACATTGCTGAAGTGACCCTGCCAGAGGAAGGTGCTCTTCCTCTTGGTTTCACTGCGTCCTCCAGTAGGATCCAACAGCACCAGGCTCCTGTAGCCCAGGTCGCTGGAGTGGGGTGGTGGTGGTGATGGCGGTGGTGGGGGAGGAAAGGGGTGTTCTATCTCAGCTTTAGGGGTTTATAGCTGCGATTCCTATTTTCATTAGGGGTATCTTTGTATGTTACAAGCCAATATCTTGTTATCTGATTCCCCAGTACGATTAATAATAAACTTTCTGTATTCCAGTTACTATGTAATTTATCTTTCCTGATATGACCCTGATTGATATAAGTACTAACTTTAAAATACATGATGCAAAAATCTTAGGAAAATTTGACAAAACTGACTATAGTAATACTGAAATGTTTATGGCAAAAAAAAAAAAAGGTGATAAACCAGGAGAAAATATCTGTACTAAGTACAACAGAGTAAGAAGCAATATCTAGTCAATAAGAAGCAATATCTAGTCAATAAGAAAAAGACAGAATCAAATAGAAATGGGCACTGTGTATGGACAAATATTTCAAAGAAGAAACATGAGTGGCCAAAAATAAGATGCTAAAACTCAGTAATCATAGAAACGTAAACTAAAATGATATACCATCTTTTTGGGGGCAGGGCCTAAAATACATTAAAAAGTTGGAAAATATACTAAAAAATTTTAATAACGTCAAGCTTTGTAAGATTGTTAAGGAAACTCACTAATTGGTAGGAAAGCAAATTGATAAAGTTTTTGTTTTTTAAGAGGGCAATTTAGCAATAGCCATTACAGTGTCTAAAACTTTATATTTAACAGATTTTTTCAATCAACTAATAAGAATCTATATTTTTAGATGACATTTTAAAGTTATAATTACACATCTTTAAGGACCTGCACTCTCTATATACAGTATTAAGTAGTTTGACAAAAGAGGATTACATCTTTTCTCTATTTATTATTTTTGATGTTTTATTAGGGTAAAGATTTTATTTCCTCTTGGCTTACAAATGTTGAAAGACAGAGCATATGTGAGAGGGTTGGTGGATTTATTTATATAGTTCTATTCCTATATCATGCAAAAAGTGTTTTCATGTCATGAGGAATCGGATATTGACTAAGGTTCAAATTCTGCTGCTTACTAACTGTAAGCCACTTGCCTCTCAGCACCTCATTTTTCTCATCTGTAAAACGAGAGGTTTATATAGATAACATGCAAGATCTTTATTATTTAATGACAATGACTAGTCAATGTATCTTCTTGTGGCTTTTTTGTAACTTCAAAACTAAAATGAATTTAAAGAAAATGGAGTCACTGAATAGGCTAAGTAGAAAAAGAAGATGAGCCCAGGGAAATAAAAACTCTGTTGTCCCTTGAAAGTTAAGGCTACTTTACACATCTGTATGTACCATTAGTAAGAACTTTCAAAAATATAAATCTTTTTTCAGGGATGGACAAAAGGAGAAAGTTAAGAGAAATGGAGATTTCATTATGAGTTAAATACTACTTAAGATGAAACTTTTTAGAGATAAGAACATTTCAAGGTTCAGAAGATCCAAATTATATCAGGAAAAAAAAATCTAGTGACCATAAAGTTTATCAGAAGTTAAAGATTAAAAACAATAATATTCTCAGTGAGTGATTCACAAAGTGTGGTCCCTAGACCAGCAGCATCAGCATTAGATGGGAACTTGTTAGAAATACAAGTTCTCAAGCCCCACCATAGCCTACCTAAATCATAAATTTGGGGGTGGGGCTCAGAAATCTAATTTAATAAGACTTTCAGGTGATTCCTATGCATGTTAAAGTTTAAGAAACATTATTCTAAGCTGATAAAGATGTAATGAGAGAGGTGGAAAAATAAATGGATATAACTCTAGAAAGCAGTTTGGTAATGCGTGTTAAAACCTCAAAATGTTCACATTATTTGATTCCAAATTTTACT